GGGGTGGGGGGTGGGGGGTGGGGGGTGGGGTGGGTTGCAGTTAGCAACCAGACAGTGCAGACTAGTCGTAGCGATGGCCTCCAACCTACTAGCTCTGACACGCGTTCCGAAGCGATACCGTTCCCGCGTTCCGAAGCGAACTATTTTCTGCGTTCCGAAGCGACTCCCTCGCCCACCAGCAGTGACAGACCTGGGAGACAAATGAATAGAAATGCTGCATGGCCAAGGGCGGACCCTGGGAGACAAATGAATAGAAATGCTACATGGCCAACAGAAAAGGGCGGACACCAGCAGTCACAGACCTGGGAGACAAATGAATAGAAATGCTACATGGCCAACAGAAAAGGGCGGACACCAGCAGTGACAGACCTGGGAGACAAATGAATAGAAATGCTGCATGGCCAGCGGAAAAGGGCGGACACCAGCAGTGACACAAAGGGCGGACACATCTTAAGAAAGAATTGAGAACCCCTAACAGTAAACTGTTTGGGGAAAAAGCACTTGCCATGATATTCGACGGTGCCAACAAAGAAATGCTTCTGTTTTTGGCCGTCGCCCAGGTACCAGTTCGGTTCAGTGGATTATCCAAAATCCATCGGATGGTTGGTGTGTCAATGCTGACTTGTCGGGGAATTCCAGTTGGAGTGCTGGTGTATATATACAGAGGAAATCACCTCCCAAACATTCAAACATGTTCACTACATAGGTCTGTCTTCCAACACTGGACCCAAAAAAATATCGACAAACCACTCACCACTCAAATGAATTCACTACAGCAACAAAAACACCTTATGGCCGCCTATATACATACATTAAATATACATTAAATATACCCGAATATTGTATAAATAAGGGTACATATGGCTATAAATAGTTAATACCTATTTACTGTAAATTGAATGCCATTTCCACAGCAAACCCAGCCGTACCGGCTCACGGTCGACCGCGTGCATCGCCTTCTCGCCCTGGGTGAGCTTGGCCACGGGAATGCCAGTCCAACGGCTCACCACCTGACGGAGAATCGACGGCCTATGAGGCGGATGCTCCCGTTCCAACACCCGACTTTTGGGTCATTTCTTCTGCAGACTCTGGGACACATTGCTATAGAAGTCTATAGATGCATTCTGGAGGATGGTCAAGTGCAGGGCCTCCCTGCGTTGACAAAAGTGCAAAGAAAATGTGTCCATAATTACAGGGTGGGTGCTTCCCTTTCCCGCACTTCCCAACTCAACGGCCTCGGCAATGTGTGCGGGTGTGACTGTCTCCACCAAGAGTGGGCTCTCAGTCTGCTCCTCATACCTCAAGTAGATTCGTGGAATGATTCGCCGCGAATCTGGGGTAACTACAAACGACATGGCCACATGGATCTCCAAAAGTCCCAAGACAAGTGGAAATGAAAGTAAAACCGTCTTGCAAAGGTTGCAAGACTTCTTGGTTTGGCCCGATTATAATGATATATCACATATCACCAACCAAGAAACCATGCATCCCTCGGGACCTCACACGGCTTGAACCCTTCATCGCAGAGTGCTCACCCTTTTCAAGCCTTCCAACTGAAAAACTTGCTTTTTGGATCAACCTCTCCCTTTGTCATAACTACCCATTCGAGCACTTCTCTTCACCCGCTTCAGCCTATTCAAAACTACAGATTCACCTTTAAAAAAGAACAAAAAACTATCCTCCCTCCCCGGTTTCGCCCAAAACCACTTCTTTCCCGGTGGCTCTCGCTTCCGCTTCTCGAGCTCTCGGATCCTCTGCAGCACGCCGGGGATGGCGTCGTAGCGCAAGTCAGCCGCGGCATCCACGTCGTGTCGAGCCTGGAGGACGGACTGTTCCAGCCAGGGAGGTGGTGGTGAGATGGTTACCAAGTAGGGACATGGCATCATGGGAAGAAAAAGAACCTTTGACATAGATTGATTGGTTGATCAATGTACATTCACAAATGATGTAAATACATTGGATGGATTGGATAAAATAGGTCAATCGGATCAAATATATATATATACATATAATAGATATAGATATAGATATATATATATATACAGTAGATGAAAACACATCAAAATAGACGCATACCTTTAAGCATTTATGTGCCATATGATTTTTATGATGCCGTTATCGCATGATTGTCACTGAATGTCACTGACGTATATGCAACCTTTACTATTTGGTGACCGTTGATTGCGACACGGTCCATCTCCCAAAAATGGTGTAAAATACAAATCCATACAAATCCACCAAACTGGAAAGGCAGGCAGGAACACTTGATGGAATCGGCGGCAGTGGACATAATATCAACTCAAACGCGCTGAATACAGTAAGTTCAACATTGGGTCGGCATTGGGTCCAAATATCCCGTCTTTACAAAGAGTGTTTGTTGTAAGGTACGCACAAAAAAGATTGCCTGGATTGATACGGAACGCAATATACTCCTCGCAATGTCACACCAATTTTTGCTGAATGGGTGTTTATAGCTCGAGCCCCTGGCCTCCATCAAGTCCAACTTCCTGAGCAAACGGGGGTGAACGGAGAACGGGAGCGAGTTGTTCGGTCAACGGTGTGTCTTAATGATTAAAAAGAACGATGTTCCTAGCATGTCATCAACTGCTGCGATGGCTGCTGCGATGGCCATAATTTCTCCGTTTATGCTGCAACTGCAGCATGTTAAACATGTGTTCCTGGGTTTTGCCTTATTATGTAGCATTGTTGTGGTCATACAATATGCAATGTGGTTCTTAAGCCACGGTAAAAATCTGTTTTATAGTCTTCAAAATTCTAGTTCAAAAACGACTTACTTTACTACACGTGTTCTGACGCTGTTTCTGACAGCGAACCTGACTGTGCTCTGACACATCACTATCATAAAGGCTGGGAAACGTTCTGGACTGTGTTCTGACATCTTTGCTGGCGTGTGCTCTGACATTTTTCCTGTCTGGCATGTGGTGTGACATATGGACCAACTTCAGTCCTGGTATGCGTGCAAAATTGCTGGCATTCTATCTACCACAGCTGCTTGCGCTTTATCTGGCATCACTGATGGCATTCTATCTGGCATATACTCTGACATGCTCTCTGGCGATTTACTTGGCAAATGCTCTGGCAGTCTAGCTGGCGTACATTCTGACATTCTATCTGTATGCTGACATTCTATTTGACATATATATATATATTAATATATACTATCATATAGTTACTGACATTCTATCTGGTGAGGTCCGCCGGGGAACACTGCCACCCGGAGCTCGTGGTTCAGGTCCGGCGGGGAACACTGCCAAGCGGAACTCGCGGTTGAGGTCCGGCGGACAACACTGCAATCCGGAGCTGACGGTTGAGGAGGAGGAGGAGGATACATAAAATCTAACAGCCCTCACCTGACAGGTGGGGAATGAACATCACTGACTATACATGATTCTTATGTGTTTCAATTGCTTAAACTATCTTAAATATGCTTTAATTATCCCTATAATTACATCTAATTTCCTCAATTCGGTCACCGATGTGACGATTTTGCAGAATGTGGACCACTGAAACCTGGTGCTTTGAGACAAGCACGCTCATGGCGGCCCAGCTTCTGCTTCAGCTCTTGCAGTTTCGACTTGGCTTTGCTCAGGTCCTCGATGAGCTCGCGCTCCTGGCACGAAACGCGTATTGGCCTCTAGCCCATAGCGACGAAGTTCACGCTACGAGCTGGAAGTGCCTCAATATGTTTCAACATGTTTCAACACCTTGATAACTTGGGGTCCTTGGACATGTCCGGCGGTCAGTGTTCATCCTGCTCTTTGTCCAAATGTCACCCGTCTTCAGGGCATCCCTGCCACTTCCGGTGTTTTTGTTCGTGTTGGTGAGAACTTCCACAGGATCTCAGGCCCTCAAGTCTTTCCTCATGCAGAACTAGCCTGTGAGCCGCTTATAGCGACTGGAGACTAAACAAAAAGGCCACAAACAAACTTGTGGACCCGGTTGCCGGTTGGATTCAGTGAATCAGAACACATTAGACCGGAATGCCAAAACAACGTGTTCTTACACGCCAATTATCCCAACCATGCCAACAACAGCTCCAAACTCTGCACAGCTGCATCACTCCTGCTGATATCTGGCCCTCAAGGGTGCCAACTCTTCGCCCACTGCGCTGAGCTCCTTCTTGGCCGCCTGCAATCGAGCCTTGGACGCCTCATCCTGCGAGCACATGGCAAGGGATGGGGCGTTTTCCCACGTAGGGTTCTCTACTGGAAGAGTTCTCCTGCACGACCTGGGAGACCAACTGATCTATGATGATCCAATTATGTGTGCGCATAAATTGTATTTTATATATATATATATATTATATATATATATATAAATATTTAGGATGCTTCTTGATGTTAGGTGCTGCAGGGTGTCTCCCTTCCATCGCAAAAACCGGCCACTGCCACTAAAGGGTTGTTCCAAAGAGGTTTGCTACATGCTACTATGCAGCGTAAACTCACACTTTAAGACTTAGATCCGCAAAGATTTCGGGTGCGCTCTGGTTCAAGAAGAAGCTCCGTCTTCCTGGGAGGAAGAAGACACCTCGTCCTCCGTGTTCCTAGTAGCTTCTTGCTCCTAGTAGTAAGGCCAGGAGCCCCTAGTTGCGTCCTTGCTCCTAGTAGCGATGCCAGGCCCCTAGTAGCGAACATTGTTCCTAGCTTTACCTATGGAAGGCGTGTGTTCGGATGAGCAGACCTTCCTTTCGATGCTCACCAGAACCCGCTCATGCAGGGAGGCATGAGGCGAAATTGCTCATGCAGGTAGTGTGTTCATCTGTCTGCTCTTTCCCGCTTTAGTATGCTTTAGTAGGGCATGTAGCTCAAAGCATCCCTTTAAGAAGATCAAAACATAGCAATAGCAATGTGTATATTCCCGGATCAAACAGCCTTTTTGGGGCGTTGATATTTGTTGATATCATTTGATATCCCGTTTTTTGATCGCGGGTCCTTTTCCGTGTTTGGATGAAAACACATGCCCCCAGTCGAAAGGCCCACCGGAGCAAGCCCGGCTTCTTCGCTCTCCCGGTCCTTCTCTTTCGAGAGGGCTTTCACCTCGACCTGGCTGGGCAAAGTGACCCAAAACTGGACCAAGAATGCCCTGAAAACAGCCCCCAAAACGTTGTAAATCCATGTGACATGTGTGGATTGTGTGGAATACATCTGAGGGACCCGAAAAGAATCCACGTCTGGCTCCTGGCCAGACCCATCGACCAAGGACCAACGTCATGTCGTCTTGATCGGATTTGACTCGCGTTGGAGCGGTCTGTCCCTCAAAAATGTGAATTGAGCATGGTCTTGTCTGCTGGCTATCTATGTGGGTTTGCCAAGGGTGTTGACCAAATAAGAAAATGATAGAAAATGTCAGTCAGTAGTGACACAAACATTACAGAAATACCCTCTGGCCCCTCGCTCACTTGCATGAAGCATGTTGATGCAATTGAACACTAGATACACTAAGCGATTTCAACAACCAAATCAATAGATCCGCAGCCTCCAAGAATCCAAGAGCCCGAAAACAGCCGTTTCTCCTCCGCTTTGGTCGCACAGCAAAATGTTGGTCCCACCAAGGAGGACAGGCCGACAGGCCTCCAGGTACTGCCTCCGGCGCTCCAAGCTGTCGATCTGCTCTGGCTGCGAGCTGAGCTGCACACGGATCTTCGAGCAGGCCTCCAAATCTCATCGCATTGGAAGGCACCGATGGCAAAACGTCTTGGACCCCCGAAAAAGGAGAAGAATGAAAGAAAGACCGGCAATGACGGTAAACCCATTGTATTCCCTGGACCAAAAAGACACACACACACACCACTTACAGTACAAGTGCAGTATAGTATATTCATCTTAATTAGTCTTGCATCGATCTTCCTCGAGAAGGATCTCCAGCCAGGCAGTGGATGTACAAGACAGACCTTCTGAGAACCTCTTCTGCACCACCACGGACAGAGTTATCCTATGCTTCTGGTCACCGAAAAACGCAAATAAGTTAAGGCCATCAATGACTCAGGACTTTTTCAGACCATTCGGTATGTTCTTGGTCACGCTTAGGTAGTCACTTTACACCTGCAAGACACGAACAAACCGTAACCGGCCTCATACACTACCAAACAAGCATTCTTACAGAGCAAGTTCTATGATTGCTTCGAGCTAGGCTTTGCTTCTGCGGCATAGGCCATTGAAACGAGAAACAGGTCTCAAAATTAAGGCACCCCGACCACTAATCTGGCGTTTGAGTTCAACTGCTCCGGCTGAGAGAAACCCGCCTCATCCAAGAGATCCACGGCCTGTCGACTAAGTTGAGGTCCAATAGCTCCTAGTAGCTTCTTGTTCCTAGTAGCAAGGCCAGGAGCCCCTAGTAGCGTCCTTGCTCCCAGTAGCGATGCCCTTTGTTCCTAGTAGCATCCTCAGGTGAATGGTTCTGTGCTCTCACGTTTCTGAGGTCCAATAGGATGGATTGCATTAGTCAGTGCAGTCATTGCATGACACGACTTCCAAGAAGGTGCAACTTCTATTCTCCACAAATATATAACCCAATATAACACATAGCAGCGCATAGCAGGTGCCACGATGTGAAAACTGTACTTGGTCTCACAACCCTGGCTAGCATAAAGTGGCATGAGTTGTTGGCATGCAGACTCTGGCAAAATCTTCTAGCCTTAGACCGGCGTCGGCCTCTCCAAACGTTGCCGGGTGGTCCCCAGCCTTGTCTGGCAAAAACCGGGTGGTAATGTAGCGGTCCTCACAAGAGACAAGAGAGGCTCGAGGAAGAACAAAAGTTGCATGTCTGGCAAAAAGAAACCCTCCATTGACTAAGTCTTTTCAGAGGGAACTTCTCTCCAAACTTTCTGTCCCGAGAGGGGACACTGAGAGCGGCGTCATCGGCACCAGAAAAACACACCCTGGGCCCATGAGAGTCATCGGGCAAAGGCTCGCTCCCCCCATCCAAGCCATAAATTCCAACACCCCGAAATGGATGGAAAAGCATGTACCCTTCCAAGATGGAGAGTAGAGGGGGGGACCCTGGATCAATTTTAAGAAATAATCTGACTACCTCCAGAGTGTTTTCAGAAAATTAATCTGGAGGATCTTAAGTCTAGTTTAATTTTTAGGCTAGGGGGGGTGGCATTAATCGAGGGGTACCCCAAGTACTCTACATAATTCTGCCATATCTGAGCTCAAAGCACTTGCAGAGGTCTCGATTAATTTTCTAGGTCTCGAGGCGCCGCACGGGTGAGCTGTAATTGAGTGTGATTAATTGTGTGGTTCCTTTCTATGTATTTGTTTTGTTTCTTGTGTAATGGTCATAGCAAGGCTTCACAAAATGGTTGTACGAGATTATATATGACCAAAATCCAACCATCTAGACAAATTAATCCAAGAAAATTAATCCGTGACTCAGTAGTCACCCGGGTTAATTTCCCTAAGGCAGGGAACATGGAAAAGCGCGTCGGCGTCCATACATATTTCAAGCTTCAAGGGGATTGACTGTGCTGGTGCTAGTGTCTATCTTGAGTCATGTTCGACGGGGAATGGGACTGACCCTCTAAAACCCCTCGATCCAAACGCATCCAAACGCGCAAATCGGTCGCTTTTTGGGGGAAGCAACCCTGGGCTGAAATGTCAAAACCTCATTCAAATTGGAGATGGGTCAAAACCTGGAGGCCCAACAACGGCAAGCGAACACCTTCATTCGACAAACAATCCTGGTTTTGCTCGGGTGTTCACTCACAGACCAGAATTGTTCGGAACAAAGACCCACACTCTTGGTCCTCCGAAGGTTGAGGGAAAATCATCAGGTGCACGGTGCACGCCACATGCGCACGGTTCATGACTCGGCCGCCCCATCGATTCGGCCGGAGCCACTGAAAGCGTGGCGGCCGCCACCAGCGCAGCATCTTGGATGGAGACCCCATGATGCAAGCCATAGCGCTCCTGGGAAAATGAGGCTTTCCGAAACTCCCCTTTTGGTATCTCTTTACTCATCCTACTGCAAGTGAAGACGGAAAAAAACAGAGGTTAACCAAGCAAGGAATTTACGGAGGTTACTGGTAAGCCTGAAGAGGCTTACCAGTCCGACATGTCCCTGGTATCGGATCGATGGTGGAGCTTGGACCTCCAAAAAGCAGAGAATGAGGACTCAACCACTCCCCCACTCAACCCAACTGATTGAGGACTTTTTCCCTCTCCCGTGGCTTCTCTGGAAAGAACATGCGATGCTTTGCATGAAGACGTGGATCGCGTCGCTACCGCGTCGCTTGTCGTTCCTTCAATCCGCGGAGGATGGTCACCGCGGTACTCACCGAGGGCTCCTCACAGCGGAGGGCTTCACCGCCCTTCTGTGGACGGGTTTGGTTCGATTTGATTTTGTTAATCTATATAGTTCACCGAGTAGCAGTATCTCAGTCTCGCCCTGTACAGGCTGCTTAAAACACAGGCTGCTTAAAACTAACAGCAGGTACAGCACAGTCACTCTTCCTGACGGAGCAGGGAACAAGGGACACCCAAGACCGAAGACTGGAAAGAAGCGGACAGATGCACTCTGATAGACCAATTCCCCTTCAGACTTCAAAACCACAAATCTAGCATGCAAGAGTTCTTCCATTTACTAGTAACAAGAAGCTACTAGGCGCTCCTTGCATCGCTACTAGGAGCAAGGAGCAAGGACACTACTAGGAGCACAGGGCATCGCTACTAGGAACAAGAAGCTACTAGGAGTTCTTCCATTCCGCATTCTTCCGCATCGAGACCGCTGAAAGCTGTTGTAACCTGTGCTTTCATGGATTGAACCCGTCTCCTCCACATGGACCTGTTGGAAGCGTCGTTCCAACGCAGCGTCCTTCTCGATGTACTTCCGGTATTCCTCACCGAGACCAGCAAAATGGCACCGAAAAATACGCCACACGATGACGCGATGAGAGCAGGGGCAGCGCCGCGGGCTGGGCGGACGCCTCCGATGAGAAGTGAGCAGCATGACACGCTGTGCCTCGAAGGGGCAACAGGAACAGATTATGCTACGAGTATGAACCGGCTACAAAAATTATGGATTCTTGCCATGGTGGACCTGATAAAGGGTTGTAGCTAGAAGCAGTTCTAAGCTTCAAAGCCCAAACTAGAAAAGCATGAAAAAGCCCGTTGTAGATTAGGGAACTCTTCCTCTCACTACTCCCCCCTTCCCATCACCGCATCTCCAAGCATCGTCCACCGTGGTGGCGCCAATGCAGCGCAGCTCGCCCCGAGCCAGCATGGGCTTCCTCGGACCGAACCGAAAACGGCAGACCGACAGACCGTGTCCGTAGCGATCGGACGCTACGAACGGGGCGCTCCTGGCATTACTACGAACGTAACAAAGGGCATCGCTACTATCAAATAGACTCCCGGCAACGAAACAATCCGTTACATTAAACTTGTCCAACCACTTTTCCACCATTGCCACCGGGCAGGCAAGGGCGGGGCCTCCAACCTTGGTTGATCTGGTGGAGGGTGTGGAGGAAGTGAGCCCTGTCGACACAGTAGTGTATCCGTCAAAGGCTTAAAGGCCAATCAACGAGTTGCTTGCGTGGCATCGATGATTCTCCCGTTTCTTGAGTTGAGGGGCTGCAACGTCTCACGTCTCTCGCGAAAAAGTGGTTGCGGATGTTGTGGGACCCTGTGGATGATTCTTACCTTAGTAAAAGAGGGAAAGAAATCACAGGAAACAAAAATTGCAAAGGGATTCACTACTCCTTTTGGGTCAGTCTCCTTTCTAATGGCCTTCCCGTGTTATTGGGGACCCTTTTTTCGTGCTCCCCCCCTCCATCCACCGGTCTCCGGTCTCCATCACGCTGGGCATCAGCAGGTTGGCCGCGTCCATGGCACCGTCCGTCTTCCCGGCGCCGATGAGCAGATGCGCCTCGTCGATGAAGAGCACCACCCGTCCTTCCGCGTCCTGAACCAGTGAACACCCGTCCGGATGCACAGGGTTTCATGCAACAGACAGAACACACCTGAGAGATGTTTGGGCCAACAAGTCCGATACCTGGCAAGAATTGGTTGAGCATGTTTGAGCCAACATAAGGCGATTTCTTTCGAAGATGTAATATCAGCAGTTTCAGGGTAGATGACATGGATGGCACAGCCGCACATAGATGCACATACAAATGCATTAGCATGTCAATTGGAATCGAAAATCGCAGTGCTCCAATTCGGTCTAGTAGCAGCAGCATCTGCTATGAAGCCATGATCAGTTGTGTCCATGTCCAAAAGGTCTCCTGTACTGTTGAGGCCCTGAACTATCTCCAATAGTCTTCTAGTCTTCCGAGCTATTTTCTGAAGTTCTCTCTCAGTTCTGGACTATTTCGTACCAAGTAGCTCAAAAAGAAACGCTTTTGGATGGTCTCAGGTGGTGCCATCTGTTTCGCACCTCTCAGTCGCAACACGGGTCATCGACATCAACTCCCCGTCCTTGACTTCTTGCAACACAGCCTGGTTCTCCGAACTCACGTGGGCGAAGTTCGTTCTTGGCGCTTTTCTTGCGCCCAAGAGGGACGGTTTGCGCCCCAAGGGACACAGAAGTTCGATGGCCTGAAATGTTTAATATATAGGCCTTCGTCATGTGTTTCGGGGAAGTTTTTTCCACATTTGGCCAACATGCCAAAAGGATTCTTCATCTAATCCAAGAAAAAGAAGCACGAAGCTTCTTAACAAGTGCCCTTAAAGTATGACTCATTGGAAACTAAATGTTGCTTTGATTATGGGTCGACCAAACTCCCAGATTCTTCTGACCCGAGTCGGACGATTCAAAGTAGGTCCCCGACATTCCCATATGGATTGGGGCATCGATGTTTTCCAAAACAATGCTTTCTTGTAGATCCCAAGTGCAAGCCTGAAATTGAATTGGTGATGGTTTTCAAGCAACCCATGGACCAGCCGCCCTCAACTTCGCATTGAGCAGTGTCAAAAACTAGCAAACTAAAAAAGAATCATACATATAGTATAAATATATAATACTACAATGCAATATATATATATATATAATCACCCTTATTCAATCTTATTCACGTATCATATATATGTAACTCTTAATCTGCTGGAAATGACCGGACACCCCAGTGGACGACTCCTTTCTCCCACGTCTCGGTCGCCCGCCCCGGTGGGTGACTCCTTCGCCTTGAGACGCTGCCCCTAGTAGCATCCTTGCTCCTAGTAGTAGGGCCAGGAGCCCCTAGTAGCTTTTTGCTCCTAGTAGTTCTCCCGCCTTGAGACGCTCCTCGAACTCACCGCGGTACTTGGCGCCGCTGATGAGAGCGCCCACATCGAGGGCCACCACTCGACAGTTCTGGCGTGGAAGGCGGGTGGTGGGGCGTCGAAGCACTGCACCGTTGGGAGTGCCACTCCACTCACCGTTGGGCTGTGGCTTCGACGATGGCGATGTGGCCCAGTCACAATGTGCAAATGGAAGTTCTCATTGAACTTAGTGATGAACAAATGAAAGGTCATCCTTGGTCGTCCTGAGTCCTAGTCCTGTAATTGGCTGGAAATGATGTCCTGGCCCTAGTCACCATCAGGCCTATCAGCAGAGATTGTTGGTGTGTCGAAAACAGCACCCACATGGGTGTGTATCATCAGCATAGGCAGCCACTACAATCACTGTTAGTCCGTCTATGAGTCTTTGGGGGGGTCCTCCTACTTTAAAACACACACAGCGGCATGAAGTCCCTGGTCAGCAGTGATCACCTGCCCAAGATCGAACTTGTTCCCTCTGAACCCCTCGCTACAGTACATTATCTATATACATAACATTCTGGGATGGTTTCATGTGAATCTGAAGAATATGAATCATACAGGATTCACAAATATTCACAAGCTCTCCGGTCCATTCTAGATTCAGTGGCTTGCAATATATAATCTTTCCCCAAGAAACGTTGCCATCAAACTGATTCACTGCCCAAACAATCCAACAATTGTTGCCCACAACTCCTGATACTTCCAGTCCCCATCTTCCCAAAAAGACGTTCTCTTCAGTCTTTTCCCTCTCGTCCCAGCGCTCTGCCCCGCTCCTTGAGGGCTTCAGGCACGTCCTTGGTGACGACCCGCTGCGCCAGGCCCTCGACGATGGCCGTCTTCCCCACACCGGGATCGCCCACCTCGGCCAGGGAGCGAGTGACGGTCGCGATCAGGAGAATCTTCCGATGACTTCGTGGAAGATGGAGAATGAGATGATGAGATGAGAAGAGCTCCTCTGGTTGCGAAGATTTTTCCTTGTGGTTTGATGACTTTGAGATCTATGCCGGTGCAAAGCATTCGTTGGACCCAACTCCCCCAAAGTCCCCAAAAAGATGTCAAACTCAGCACCCTGGTTCCTAGCGACACGACCTCATGAAAGGCCCCTTGTCACAACAGACCCCTGTCATTCCGAACCCTGAACACCATGACCCCACCCTCCCCCACCAGGATGGGGTTGTTCTTGGTCCGTCGAGCCAGCACCTGGCAGTGGTCAAAGTTCACATGATTGAGATGGCTTGACCGCGATTGTCACGCTAGGATGGTTGGCCCAAATGGTTTCTGTAAAGAATGTCTTCTCTGGGCTTCTCTTTCTGTGTCCCACAAGTGCAAGACAATATGCAAAGAAAATTGTAGACGCACTAGCAAGAGCGTCTGCCAGCGCGCCGTTTTCACCTAAGGCGCAGCACGAAATGGCTTCAGGCCTTGATCCAAGCGAACATGAACAACCATGTTCCTCCGCATGCCCAACACCGAAGAGCAAACTCAACTTTCACAGTTCATCCCCTTCTCTTGTGGCATTTGAGGGGTTGGGCAACGGCTGAACACGGTCACGAGTAAAGCAACAGGCTCCTCAAGCATCGATCGAGGATTCTGGAGCTCTCGCATGTCGACAGAGTCTTCCAACTGTCGCCAAATCACACTATGTTCGCTGTCAAAGCGGGCAAAAGTGGAACGAAACGCATGTGTCGTTCTTGAACAGCGTGGCTCTGGGGTCCTGTACGAACGAGCCTGACGGCACACGTTGACGGCCAAATCTTCATTCAAAACATGCCAACCTGAGCTCTGTGAGAGCTTCATCACATGGCCAAACAACGGGGAGGAGCTTTCAAAAGGGACTCCCATGTCACTTCTCACCAACCTTCCGGTCTGTTGTGAGTTAGCCATGGGCTTCTTACTTTTGGACGTCTGTTTGACGTACTGGGAGGAAAACTGTACACACCACTTGCAATCTTTCAGGATCTTGTGAAGGTGCTGAGGGTCAAGCTCCTTAGTGCCGCAGTCTACGATCATGTTCTCTGTTGCTGTCCAACGCATGCTCGTGTTGCATCGAGCCAGCATTGAACGAATCCAGCTTATGGTGAAAGCTAAACTCTTTTGGCTGCCATAGCTCGGCGTTTCTGAGCAGGATTTGTCGAATGCATCCTTGGCGTCGGTGACAACCAACAGGGGCACGGAATCCGTGCTAAGGTCAAAGGGCTTCCGGTCGAGTGGATGACCGAAAGCTTCGCCAAGCACGCCGCGGCAATATTGCCCGGCATCCAGCGCCTCCTCAATGCCCAGCAACTCTGCGGCAAATGTCGATCTGCATACCCGGTTCAGTCGATGAGACCGGGCGTCCAACACTGTGAACTTGCCTTCTCTGCCGCTCATGAGGTTTTCGTCAGCAATGAGGACAAAGTAGGCGGCTTGACTATAGACCTTCTTGATGGCCGCTTCGTGGGAACTACCGCTTTTCGTCACATTGCCAAGCGAGGCATCAGAAACAACGAGGATCCCAGCATTCTTCATGTCCAAGGGCTTGAAGCGCAGAGCGAAGTCTGCGTGGAGCTTTGCCTTTCTAACTAAGGCGTTGGCGCGGATCAACGTCTCGATGGTCTGGGAAGCACCCTGCAATGTCGACAACTGAAATTGCAAGTCAAAGCGAACTTGCGCTACCAGCCACTGCAAACTCCCAAGGAGAGCTCTGAGCTGGCGTTGTTCCCCAGGCATCAAAGTAGCTTCTGGATTCTTCTTTCGAAGTGGGTTGATGCGCACCTGCTGAAGATTGCTATGGTACTCTTCCATGGAAACTTTTTTCACTGAAAAATCTTCAGCTTGCTCAATCTTCTTTCCACAATAGGTTATGGTTCCGGTAGAGGTGGAACCAAACCCAAGTTCGGCACCCAGCAATTGCAAGGTGTGGTGCGCACGAGGGCCTCCGGCCAGTAGCAAGTCATCCACGTGGGAGATGAGGATGCCTTCCAGTTTGGAGCCTTCCCACAGGAACCACATGGCCAAATCCAGAGCTGAAAGTTGCCAACCATGGTGTTGTACTGACTTGCATAACCTCTTATACCAACGACGAGGGCTGTCAGCTAAGCCAAATACTCCCTTTTTCACACGGCATAAGCCTGCTTCCGAGAATGGTAAGCGTGGCTCATCAGGTGCTCTGGTCTTCACGTTGGCGAGGTAGAGGATGCGTTCATTGGGGCCAAACTCTTCACCTTTCATGAATGCCGACTTGATGTCAGCACTTGCCAGCTTCCACTTCATACTGGCGGCAAAGGTCAGCAAAAGATGCTGAGAAGTTCTCGACGCTGTTGGAGCATCACAGCGAAGGCCATATGCACTAATGTCTTGGTATCCGGGGACGACCAGCCTGGCGTTAGCCTTGAGTGGAAGGTCCCGGTCTGCCGTCCTCAGTCCGTCATTCTTGTCCACATAGACGAAGCGAGGAACCAAGATGCGGTGGCTTTCACCTTCTGTCTTCAACTTCTGCCTAATGCGGGCAGCTTCGGCATCTGGAAGAGGTTCGATGGCTTCATTTTCAACCCATACTGACCATCCTTTGGCTGCGGCTTCACGGAACTCCTTTTTCTCAAAGTCCGACATGTGACTCCATACATGCTCCTTACGAGCAGTGAGCACTGCAAGCACTTCCTGAGCAGCATCATCATTGCCAAGGGGCCAAAGTTGCTTCAGCATTTGCCGTCGTTTGAATTCTGTCCTCGAGGGGAGAGGCCAATTGCCACGCCATGTCCCATGGTCTCGGACTCTGGCTTCCAAGGGATTCAGACGATCCTGTTCCGCCATGATCTGGATCTGACGGAGCGGATGCACATTGGCATAGGCTTCCATTTCCATCACTTCATGAGTCACTCTCAGGGCTTCGGAAGCTTCATCAGGAACTTCATCTGGAGGTTGAACCGGAGTTGGAGCAACAGGGTCTGGTTGAAGAGCTTCTTCACGCAAGCGCTCAGCATCCAGTTCAGCAGGCCTCTTGGAAGCTTGTGACTCACCGCTAGCACTTGGGGCGGCACTGGAAACGCTCTGCCGTCTCTGTTCAAAGGCAGCTCGTACAGCTTCAGGAAATGGAGATGTACCTAAGTCTGGCAAAGAAGAAGTATGCCGAGACCATCCTCTTGAGATAGGACCACCTTGAGCATTGCCGAGGGCTTGCGCAAACTCTTGAGGATGTAAAGGTGGTAGATCGGCAGGAGCTTCTTCAGGTACGGCTGAAAGAGGAACAGGTTCAACAGGTAGAGACACTCCCGTCATCGGTCCACCCTGTGCTTCGGGTTCAGCCGAGGTGGTTGTAGATGAGGAGGTCGTTGGTATCTGTCGATCATGGTACGCCGCATCGATGACTTCCTGAATGGCATCTTGCCATACCTCACTCGCAACTTGTTCCAGGGAGCTGGCTGGTCTCAAATGCTCAATAGCGCACTTGGTCAGTTGTCCTCTGAAACTCACATATCCATTCACATTGCCCTCCAAAGCGACGAGGAGGGCAGGGCCATGCCATCGCTTGAGACTGAGCCGTTTCTTGGATGCAGCTGTTCGGTTGTTGAACCGAGTTTGCCTGAAGAAGTAGACGATATCTCCAGGAGATAGGCCATGCTCTGCCGTCGGTCCTCGAGAGCGGGCTAGTTCAGCTCGTCGAAGGCCTTTGGAAAAATGAAGGCGCACCATCGCCAACCGAGCAGTCTCTCGCATGGCAACTTGTCTGGCCAAACTCGGCCGGGAGTCGATGAGTCCATGCTCACTCAAGCGGCGACCAAAATCACCAAGGCAATCTCCGTGCATCCGGGGTTGCTTTCCAAAGGCAGCTTGCATAGGAGAGACACCAGCGTCGTTGATGTCCGAGTTGTAGGCGCTTACTGCCTCCTGGAGACAAAGTTCAACATCATCTTTTCCCAAGGCCGAATGAGCCTTGATGCACGAACGAAGAATGCCCTTTAGGATAGCGCCACCGCGCTCACATACACCATTCTGCCAAGGGGCTTGGACCGCGGTGTGGTGGAGGTAGATGCTCCATGAACTGCAGAACTCTTCAAACTCAGCAGACACGAACTCTTTGCCCTGATCTGCTATCAGGACTCTTGGTGCTCCCAGGATGGGAAGCCATTTGGTCTTAAAGAAGCGCTCCACCATGCTCGAACTTTTTGTTTCCAAAACTTCAGCAAACTGCAGCCTGGAGACATAGTCAATGGCATGGATCACATAGAAGCGCTTTTCGCCAATGTCTTCAATCTCAAAGAGGTCCACATGGACCTGGTCGCCCACATCCTTGGGTAGTGGCAAGGTAGCAGGCCGTCTGGCCTTTGGGATCTTCCGCTCGTCGCAAATTGAGCATTTGAGGTGACGAGCAGCATGGATGATGTCCGGAGGGGCACCAGTGATAGCCAGTGCTCTGGCTAGGCGACGGCCAGATCGGTGGCCCGTGTTTTCATGTAGGCGTCGAAGAGCTTGCTTCACAGCAGCTGACACCTTGGGTCCAGTGACAGCTTCAGTGGACTCCTGATCAGAGTCACTCAGGTTCATGTCAATCGGCAGGGCGGTCTCATCTTCAGCCTCCTCACCGTCTTCGATGGCAAGGATGTTGTGTGGTCTTTTGAAGTCAGCTTCAAATTGCTTTTCCATTCCAACCACCAGGGCCTTGGCGAGGGCCCACGGATAGTGGCCAGCGGGCTCTGAAACAGCTTTTCCCCCAATGATGTGACCATGAGGGTGATTGCCAAGACACTTCATGCCGTCCAGTTGGGAAAGGACCTCATCACTCGAAGTGGCTATCCTCGTAGCTTTCCGAAGTAGGTCACCCGCCTGGTTCTTCAAGCGGAATCGGCATTGGTGGAAGACTACACAACGGGCCTCAAGTTGCTCCAAGGCTCTTTGCATCTCTTCCAGGGTCCATGCTCTAGAGGATTGAGGGTTCTCCAAAACAAAGTGACAACCACGACTCTTCTGGTCCTTGGCCAATTGGAGGGCGAACTGCAAGAGGGTGATTGCTTCCTCATACATCTTGGTGCCATTCTTCGGAGGGTTGAGGTTGAGTAACACACTCCAAAAGGAACAAGGAAATGCCAGCACCAAAAAGAAAGGACTTTCACGCTTCAGGACTGCTCTGGCAGCTTTGCGATCCAGTGGACGGAGAAAATTCCATCCTGATTCCAAGCTCATTGAGGCTCCCACTCGATGTCCTCGTTTGCGAGCCGTCTGCG